TTACACAAAGCACTATGCAGTTATCTTAAAGGTTACATATCATGAAAAAAATCTGACATAACCAACTGTTTTTGTATCTCATGTGTGTTTTTGACAGTTTAAAGGGGACCTATTATGCGAAAATCACTTGTGTTTGAACAGTTGTGTGGCCGCAGTGTGTGAAAACAACCAGCCTATAATGGTAAAAATCCACCCACTATTTTTTTTTTTATAATCCCAATAAACAGTCTCTCAGAACAAGTGATTCCAGATTTCTCCCTACGTACATGTCATCTTAAAGGGGTCATATGATGCGATTTCAAGTTTTCCTTTCTCTTTGGAGGGTTACAAGATGTTCGTGAATAGATAAGATCCCTAAAGTTGCAGAGACTAAAGTCTCAAACCCAAAGAGATTTTCTTTATAAAAGTTAAGACTCGCCCACGCCCTCCTAAATTTTCATCTAAATTACACAAAAAGAAGAAACCATTGAACAGCTAGCCAGTCTAGCAGCACATCAACCTGGAGAGAGCTAGAGAAACAGTACAAACAAATGTGCATTAAGTTGCTAGTTCCAATTGGTCAATAATAAATGCACATTTATGATACAGCATGTTATTAGCTTATGCAATGACGTCATCACGCAATGACATCACAACATCATTTAGCAATTTTTAGCAACAAATCAATCTGCCTTTAGCAACTTCCCTAGAAAATTAGTTGGCAACACTGCCACTATTACATATAAACACATTACTATTTTCTTGCAGTAGCTGATGGAGATACAATGTCAGCACCAAAGATGCATTACAAGTGTTGTGTTTTGGGATGCACCAATGAACATAGGAGTCTCCATAGACTCCGTCCATCTGAGCTGCTGAGGACATTGTGGTTAAATTTCATTTTCGAAGGAAATATCCCAGAAAAAAAATCTATAAAGTCCCCTATATGTTTAAGGATCAATACCAACTCTTCGTGCTTGACCGTCAGCTCCAGACAAAGTAAGTATCATGCATTTGTTTTGCCGTTCTGAAAGAGCTTATTGACATTTTGTAAGGCTAATGTTGCTAAAGCTATGCCTGTTTTCACTGATGCTGCCTTCACGTGCTACCAGAATGATCGTAAATAGGAATGTGGTAGTTAAAAATTGCATATGAAAGTAATGTGAAGTCGACCACTTGAATTTGTCAAGCTCATAATCACATGTGGGACTTATAAAGTTTGTGATAGCACGTGATGGCACCATGAAACCAGCTATGTCGTTATTTTTACTGTGCAGTGCTCCTCGTCTGTGTAATTCATGAACGTGAATTTATTATGCACAGTACAATCAACTTTTAAACCGATTCCGGTTCGAACATACTGTATAAGGCTGAACACCGCTACTGAGAGTTTCTGACATTTTCAGTGCGTGAGATTGTCCTATTTTGCCGGAGTCTCCATAGACTCACTCCGTCCAATCTGCTGAGGACATTGTGGTTAAATTTCATTTTCGAAGGAAATATCCCAGAAAAAAAATCAATAAAGTCCCCTATATGTTTAAGGATCAATACCAACTCTTCGTGCTTGACCGTCAGCTGCAGACAAAGTAAGTATCATGCATTTGTTTTCCAAATTGCCTTTCTGAAAGAGCTTATTGACATTTTGTAAGGCTAATGTTGCTAAAGCGATGCCTGTTTTCACTGATGCTGCCTTCACATGCTACCAGAATGATCGTAAATAGGAATGTGGTAGTTAAAAATTGCATATGAAAGTAATGTGAAGTCGACCACTTGAATTTGTCAAGCTCATAATCACATGTGGGACTTATAAAGTTTGTGATAGCACGTGATGGCACCATGCGACCAGCTGTCGTTATTTTTATTGCGCCGTTCTCCCTGTCTGTGTAATTCATAAATGTGCATTTATTATGCACACAGCACAACCGGATGACTGACTTTTAAACTGATTCCGGTTTGAACACAAGGCTGAACTTCTGAGTGTTTCTGACATTTTCAGTGCGTGAGATTGTCCTGTTTTGTTTTGCCAGCTCTTGAAGCTCTGCCCTCTTCTGAAAAGGGATAAACACAAAAACAGCACGTTTTGGCTCATACCGTAAAAGTGGCAATTTTAACAAGCTATAAAAAAATATCTGTCGGGTACTTTGAGCTAAAACTTCACATACACACTCTGGGGACATCAGAGACTTATTTTATATCTTGTAAAAAGGGGCATAATAGGTCACCTTTAAGCAAAATAAGACATGAAAGAGAACTTAGTTTAGTACTCACATGCTGTGTAACAGCCGCTTTCTGTGCGCGTGCTTCGGATGTGTGCGCTCAGGAAACCGTATATTAGAACTTTGAACTAAATATGGTTTAAAACGCACAATTTCAGTGCAACAGACATGATAATCAAAACCAAACAGAGTATCTGAGGAACGAGCTGTAAAGGCACACCCCTATTCTAAAAAGGGGGTGGGGAGCAGCAGCTCATTTTCATTTAAAGAGACATGCCCGAAAACAGCGTGTTTATGCTTCCACTCAAAATAGGCATTTTCAAAATGATATAATAAATGATCTGTGGGGTATTTTGAGCTGCAACTTCACAGACACATTCTTTCTAAATGTCAAATGCCATACTTTATAACAACATCATTTCTAGATTTAGATCAGATTTAGATTTAGAAATATTCAGTTAATAAAATGTTACTCACAACAACACTGCAGTCAGAATTACCATCTCCTTTTAGTGTGTTGAAGGAGGTGGGTGTTTGCCCATCCAGGGCACACAGCAGAGTTCAGCAGGCTTATTTTTCATATCTGTCCTGAGAATCATTTCCTCCTGTGCAGGAGATTGTGATTCGCTCATTGAGCAGGACTGAGTCATACTGTGATTAATACACTACTGATTGGCAGAATGGTAGAAAGAGGACATACTTGATGCATCACTATGACAACAGCTAACCCCTGCCTCTTGGCATTTCCTCAAGGATGGCTGGCCAGTTGGATGAGTTCTCCACAAATGTCACAAGCATCTCCCACTTCAGGCCATCACTGTCCTGAAACACACACACATACACACACACACACACTGGCTGAGAACCAGCGGCAGGCTGCTTTGGCATTTCATAGGAGCAGTTAAGGTTTTTCTCTCGCAGCCAGTCTCTGGCATACAGGGAATGAGTTTAACTCAGAGTAAACTCAGAGTTTGTCTGGATAAACTGTATTTATTAAGAAAATAAATATTATGCAATTCAGTGCAATTGAAATAGTAAGCCAAATGTGTTGTCATTGCGAGGTTAGCTTGGGTTTTAAAACGTCAAACCCCAAGAACTTCGTGATATTCATAATTCAAAAACAGGTTCACAAACCGGCCATTATTATTTGTTCGCTGACCTAATTCTGAAGTTCAGCTCATACTGACTCGTTGCAGTAGTTAACGGGAGGATTATCGGTGAATGACCACTTAAATTCCGGTCTGTTTCTCACACAAAAGTGTTGATTAGAAGAAAGCGAACTCACACTCTTCAATTTTGTTCTTATGTGTTCCAGTTTAGAAAGAAAACCATACAAATATATCATGCATAATATCTCTAAACTTTAGAGTAAAGACCCAATCTTACTCAAGTCAGGATAAATGTTTGTCATCTTGCTCTGTGTCTCCACCCTGTGGTGCTCCTAATACATGCCACATTATCATGTCGTGAGTTTATGAATCTTTCACAAACAAAGCAAAGTTTTGTTTTATATGCTCCAAAAAAGAATTTTACAGTACAGCAAGTCTTCATTACAACTCGCTGAAACGTTAACCACATGGTCATTAAAGATGTTTTCAGCAAGTGTGGGACTTTCCTTTTCCTTCTTGATTTTCTAATTGCAAAAAAGGATAACACACTACTTGGATGCATTACAATAACATAATTTGGTTAGAGAATGTGCTTAACTTAACTTTTCCATAAAATTAATGTCATAATACAAACAATCTTAATGGCTTAAAATAGTTATTTTATTTTCATTTTTAGGGATGATATTTCATTCGGTCACATTTTTGTGAGATTAATCCATTTAACAGAATGAACAAATATTTTAAGTTGAGACAATTATGTTTTTTTGTTTTCCTGTCTCAGTTAGGCCCTATGTTTGAGATGAACACTTTACCATCTGTGGAAAAGTCGGCAGATGAAGCTCCTCTTAAAAGTACACGCTAGACGCTACAGAACGTGTTTGCTTGTGGAGGACAAGCATAAAGTGCTCATACACAAATTCTTAGTATACTAAATCCTATAAGTCATTCATCTGTGGGATGTTTATTAACTAATTATTTTGCAAGCTACTTAGAAACTTGTAACTTGTGCTTGCAGCTTTTCCCCAGTAGAGGACCTTGTTGTTTCATTAATTAGTGAATCTCAGAAATCTGATACAAAATCCTGAATAAATTGACTATAAAAAGTAGGCTACAACAGAAAAATAAATAATATACATATGCTCATTAAATATTGTTATTAAATTAGCATTACAAACATGAATTTCCCATCAGCTTTGCTTATTGTCTGATTTTTTTATTTTTTTTTCTCTCCATATTGTGATTGTGGCTGTGCTTGACACCAGCAAAAACAGAGATAAGAACCTTAGCAACTTTAGCTAAATAAATGGCCTCCACGATTGTGGCTATTTCACGTTCTCTCTTGAAATCATATTTTAAGCCATGTCCAACTCTTAACCAAATTACCAAGATGCAAAAGACAGAAAAGGCAACTCAGGCTGATTATATAATGATTGGGATGGCAGTCAGTGGTGTTATGTTACAGCATAACCAAAGCAACAAAACACTCAGGAATACTGAGTGAGTATAAAAGCAGCTTTAAAAAAGTGTGAGCTGGAACACCTGAATGAGTACAAAATGAATCTGATATGTCAGAGACTTAAAGACATATTTAAGATTTAATAGACAGATTTAAGGCATCAGTGATTTATTGATTCACTTATAATGAAATATCACTGAAATAACCTTTCACTTTGTCTTCTTTAACTTAAAACCGTGGCTTTTAAACCTGATTCCTGTCCATCTGAACAAGTCAGTCAGTTGCACAGTGCTTCAGAAAGCACACTGAGGTAATACTGAGACTTGTCCTCCAGACACTGTCCACCATCACTTCATATCAGGTCTTCCTTGAGAAAACAGCTTCTTCTTAGAAACAGCTCATTTTCAGAAATCTTTATCCCAGCCAGAGAATTCATCTGAGGGTTCTTCAAGCTCAGGGGGAAACATGTCGAAATGACTGTGATCCAGAGGTCCTTTGAGCTGCAAAAATGAACAGAGGAGAATCCCACAAGTGTAGGAGAACAGGCTTAAGTTTCTTACACAATGTGACAGAATCTGTTGAATCTATGCTTCACCTCTCTCCTCAGAGGAGACGTCAGCTTCCGCCGTCTCAGTCCTTCCCAGTTAAAGCCTTGAAACCACCTGCGAGAAAACAAAGGAACAAAGTAAACCTCCACAGCACAGTGACTCAACATCCACTCGTGTCTTCAGCCTCATCCATCACTTTCCTTCCAGTGAGAAAATGTTTCAAGGGTACATACAGCACATTGTCCACTTTTATTGTTCGAAAGTGTTTTATTGCACCAAAAATGGCCAGAATTCAATTTGTTGGCCATTTCCACCATCTCTCTGACCTTTAGAACTGAACAGGACACTTTTTTGCTACTGCTCACATATGTAAGACACATATGTAAGCGCTCTCTTCACATGTGAAATGAGATGAGTACTTATTCACAAGCTGAAGACTTTGCAGTTTTCAACTAGTCTTTAACTTCAATAACAGCCTATTTGCAAAAGTACAAACTGAGAAGTTGTTGCAGTTTAATGGACTTTTTGGACTGGGGAGGCAGTTTTGAGTTCTAAGGTACTTTATTTTTTTAGGGACAGAATTATTTTAGCTTAAAAATCAAGAAAGTTTCCTTGCTCATATTATGACCATTAAATTCTGAAGATACTCTACCATTTAAACATTTGGAATCGTTAAGATTGTTATTGTTTTTGAAAGAAGTCTCTTATGCTCACCAGTGCTGCACTTAAATACAGTAAAAACAGTCATATTGTGAAATATTATTACAATTTAAAATAACTGTTTTCTATTTGAATATATTTTAAAATATAATTTATTCCTGTGATGCAAAGCTGAATTTTCAACTTTAGTGTCACATGAGCTGTCAGAAATCCTTCTAATATGCCGATTTGCTGCTCAAGAAACATTTCTTACTATTACCAATATTGAAAACAGCTGTGCTGCGTTATGTTTTTGAGGAAATCACGATACATATTTTTCAGTATCATATTGAAATCTTTTTGGTCTTTTCTAATATTATGTCTACTATCACTTTTGATTAATTTCATGCAACCTTGATGACTAAAAGTATTAATATTAAAAACAATTCTGACCCCAAACTTACGATAGTGTACATCTCAGATCTCACTCATCTGACGACACATTGTTACCTGAACATGCATATTCATGCCTGTATCAAGAGCATGCGCCTTCATTTGCATAATGCTCTGAACATAATTTAGTGACATAATACAAATGATGTTGAGCTCTTGTGCGCTTTGTGCATATGTTACCTGAATTACTTACCCTGCGTGATAAGAATACTCAAGCATAATGAATATAAAAGCAACAGCGTCTCAGTGCAAACACACAGAATGCTAAAATAATAAGTGTGATAACTCCCAGTTGATTGTAATTTGAACAGTGGGCATCATCAGTGCACATGCATTTTAGGCTCTATCACTCCCGTGACTGTTAAAGGATGGGCCCAGCGCTTCACCTTGCTGTCTGCGGCTTCACTGCTCTATGGAAGATGGCAACAGCTGTGCCTCTCACTTTGGCCACTAATTGCTCCCCCTGTGAATGCAGTGCGGCTAATTTGGCAGGCTGGCTCAGCTACCCATTGTGCTGTGACATACAAAGGAGGGGACAGACAGGCCTGCAGCAAAACAGACTCAACAATACACTACCCGTGATCAGACACATGGATCAGCGCTTCAGTTTACTCCCAGGTGGGTCTAATGTTCATTAATGCACATAAATGAAACACTTACATGAGAATATGACAGTGTATGGTCTGCAGTGTACAGTGAGACAAATAAAGGGATTATATTAACAAGATTTATGGGCAGGATTGCTGGATATAGTACACATATAAAGGTGTACTTAAGTCTTTTTAAGTTGGTCAAAAAATCACTCTAAAAATGCATTTTATATCAATTTAAACTATAATACACATTTATTTGATTGTCATTAACCTGCAATTAAGAGAGAGATGTCCGTAATAAGTACTCTTTTTAAAAGCGTACTTTACAAGGGTCATGTCAAGAATGAATAAATGATGAATAGGGTGAATAAATGATTTCTGAGCAACTGATATTTGTTGACCTACTTGTGTTTCTTGATGTCAATGATGCCATTCTTTTTATTCCCAAGCCGTTCTGCTGGATTGAGCCTGGAGACAGTGAGGGAGATGAGTGAGTATCTGACTGTTCTTATACAGGCCAAGCAAGTGAAAAAGTCACATCAATAAATGCATAAACGTACATTGACAGGTACACAAGGATGAGAGAGGCTTTGCTCCAAAACCTACTGAGCTACATAGGCAGCACACTCCAAACAAGAATACTGTTTAAAATACATAATCTTTTGGCAAAATTGTAAGGCAGCATCATATGTATCCTTTAAGCTGACATCCTATAATACAATGTGACAAACAACAGAAAGAATTTATTCAATTTAAAGGACAATCTGCGATGTGTATTATAAATACCTTTGTGAAAACGAAGTGTGCTTAATTATATTGAAAGTGCACTTGTATTGTACTTCAAATATTGTGTAAAATTAAAAAAAAACTATTTGCAGATAATATAATATTAAACAAAAGGCCTGTTAAATGCAATTAAAGAGAGACACGTTCATGACTGTTTCTTAACACACTTAAGTATACTTTTAAAAAGTGTACTTCGTAAAAATGTCATATCAAATCAATTTGTTTTTTACATTTTGTCAAGCTTTAAAGTACACTAGTGACTAACACACAACAGCACATATAAAGTACTTGATTATTGCATTCAGCAGCATTTTAACCATATTTTAAAGACAACAGAGGTAATTATGAAATGACATAAAAATGCACTTAAGTTAAAATTACACTATATTTTCATTTAATTGTAAATAACATGCGAGTAAAGTGTTTCAGAAAAAAAATATATATATTCGGTTCACACAAGTATATATTCTTTAAAAATATATATTGTTTCCTCAATAAGTACAAAAAAAAAGTATGCTGAAGTGTACTTCTTTTTCCACAAGTATATACTTATCTTAAATATTACCTTAAATATTGAAAAAGTTCAAATGAATTAAAAATGGACATAATTGTGTTATGTATTTTATGATTATTTTAATGCTTAATTTATTAAAAATTTTTTATTGTTATTGTTTAACTGCTGTATATTTGTGATGAGTTTAAAAAATAGGTCTCAGAATATGAGAAACCTACTTGCAAAGTCTCCGTATGAGATCCTCTGGACGCTTGCTGATCCTCTTGGGAAAGTCCACCTTCTCTATCCCGTGAAGAACCATGGTGTAGATCCTGATTGGATCAGAACCTGTGAATGGAGGGCTGACAATCGTGTGGGACATGTTATATTTCAAACACCATCAATTTATTTGAAAATGAAACCATACAGCAGTCAGTACCTAAACATGTCTATTTCACTTGGTGAATCTGAAGTGGAGTTACTAAAACATACAGTAATAATGCATAAGAATGATAATTTATGCAGTAAATAAGCACAGCTAACAGTGCATCAGTAAGACTGAAGAGATGTAAACGTCCTGTGGCATTACATCATGATGATTTTGTCCAGCTTGTTATTACGTAGTCCCATCCTCAACACTATGTTGCTATGGTGATGCTGTCTGAAGCTTGAGGCAATGGAGTTCGCAGTGAGAGCCATGACTGCTAATCTCACACTAGATGACCATTTGCTCTGGTCAAGAGAGCCCTGTCCTTTACAAAACGGATTTTGAACGTAGTGCAGAGCGTTTTGGCAGAAGCACAGGGAAAGCCATGCCAATTCATGTCTGGGAAATCTGTGCTCTTTAAAGGTGAAGTGTAGAATTTCTGCACCACTAGTGGCACCAAACGGAACTGCAAAACTTGCTTCCAAACACTTGCCATTGCTTGTGTAAATGGTAAGTCTTTCCCAAACTCACAGCATTAGTTGAAACAGAAGTTGCTTTAAAATCACCACAGGACCAGTGTTTCCATTGTTTGGGAATTTGACCTGCAAATGCAGACCTGTGGAAGCATGAAACACATGCGTTGAAACCAATGTTTACCTGCCAATCAGGAGCTCAAAGATGAGGATGCCCAAGGACCAGCAGTCAGCTCCAAAGTCATGACCCTTATTCATGATGACCTCAGGAGCCACATATTCAGGAGTGCCACAGAACGTCCAAGTCTTCTTACCTAGTCCGATCTTTTTGGCAAAGCCAAAATCAGTCTGAAAAAATAATAAAAAATTAATAATAATAAAACAAAATAAATAAATAAAATAAAACAGCGCAAATAATAAGAATGCTCAGTGTAAGACTAAAAAGTGGCTATATATCTCAGACTCCATGCATATATATATATATATATATATAGTGAGGTCCAAAAGTCTCAGACCCCTGTAAAAAATTTATTTATTTTGTATTCTTTTCAATCTGATAATAAAAAGGTTAATAACAAATTATCGTATCATATCTGCATGAGAAGTTTATTTGAAAATTTTCATGATCATGTTCTCTAGCATGATTTGAGAATGATCCATTGAGCATCTTGTCCTTCAATAGAACTAAAAACATCTGACCATCTGTACAAAGAGTCACATGATCAGTTACAAATTAGCTTAGATTCTCAATCAGGGGGCCCTAATAAGTCTTAAAATGATGTAGTGATATCAACATAATCTTAAATTAATTCATAAACTCAAACATAATGATGTTCAGCATTAAACTGACATCATATTGTTGAGTTTATTACAACAGAAGTACCAGAGGTACTTTAAAGGAATAGTTCACCCAAAAATGAACATTTGCTAAAGTTAAAACGTATTAATGAAGGATTTGTTTACTACTAATTTATGTTGTATTGTGATGTTTTTATCAGCTGTTTGGACTCTCATTCTGACGGCACCCATTCACTGCAGAGGATCCATTGCTGAGCAAGTGATGTAATGCTACATTTCTCCAAATCTGTTCCCATAAACAAACAAAATAATCTACATCTTGGATGTCCAGAGGATGAGTACATTTTCAGCAAATTTTCATTTATGTGTGAACTATTCCTTTAAGAAATTTCAAAATATCTTTAGTTCACCTAAAAATGAACATTTGCTAAAGTTAAAACGTATTAATGAAGGATTTGTTTACTACTAATTTATGTTGTATTGTGATGTTTTTAGCAGCTGTTTGGACTCTCATTCTGACGGCACCCATTCACTGCAGAGGATCCATTGCTGAGCAAGTGATGTAATGCTACATTTCTCCAAATCTGTTCCCATAAACAAACAAAATAATCTACATCTTGGATGTCCAGAGGATGAGTACATTTTCAGCAAATTTTTATTTTGGGTCAACTATTTCTTTAAATATTATCTAAGACAAAGGGGCCTTATAGTCAAAACAGTTGAAAACCACTGGCTTAGAGGCCTAGAAATAGTGAAAATCTGAAATAATGAAATATTCATTATCTTATTCATCATAACTGTTTTGCCCTAACATTTATTTCATTTATTTAATTGGGCCTCAGACGTTTGGACCTTTTACCATGGCATTTAGTAGTATATGTACAGTAAAATGACCATTTTGACATAGCCTTCCCCATCCAGAAGAAGATTCTCCGGCTTCAGGTCTCGGTACACGATGCCTTTGCCGTGCAGGTAATCAAAAGCTTCCAGCACACATCCAGTACAGAAGCGCGCAGTGGGCTCATCAAAACAACTCCTAAACGAAACCAAAACATCACAACAGTCTAAAATATTCTACCTCGATTAGCAGTTGAGATGCTATGAATCATTCAGCCATAACCAGTAATAACTCTGCATGATTATCAAAGACAGTGAGCTGTAGCATGTGTCAAAACAACCTACACTCACATGTCCCTCAACACGCTCCACAGCTCTCCTCCCAGGCAAACCTCAAGCAGCATGTAAACATACTTATCATCCCGGAATGTGCGGAACAACCTGAAACACACAAGGACAGCCTGACACACTCGATTATTTGCATTCTGAGAAACAGAGTGTCCCTTTAGCACTTCTCACTACTTGCTTTCATAGAGAACTAGACTCGCATGTAAAGCTGTGCTACCTTTTCATCCACAAATGCCAGAGAGGCAATAAAATGAGCCAGAGCACACACTCAGACAGGAATATAAGCATGGATTGAAATTCCCCGGGGAGTTTCCTAGCAACATGCAAAGCAGAAGCCCCTTCTCTGATACAGATGAAAAGCATAATGGCACTGGACCACTGTGACAGATGTAAGCCAAATGTCTAGTGTGTCATAGGCTCTGGAAATTCAGTCCTTCGTGGATTTCTTGTATGACTCTGTCTGCTCCACCACACCGTGATGCTGAAGTTATTAAAGTCTGTAGGAATGGAGCAGAAACTACAGTATAATGTTGCACCACTGTGGCCTCCAGTCGCTCTGAATAAAAGTGTCTGCTAAACAACAAATTTCAGTTTCATTGTGGACATTTCAACAGTCAGATTAAATGCAGATTTAATGCATTAAAGGGTTAGTTCACCCAAAAATAAAAATTAGGCTGTGTTTTACTCACCCCCGATGCATCCTAGGTGTATCACGCAGTAGCTCCAATACTGTGACAAAAGTGTCCAAGATAAATGAAAGCCCAAATCTTTTAAAAATCGAGTTTTAAACATGCGCCAAGTTCTTAGAAATGAGGTCTACCATTTACCATATACCATTTTCAACAAAAGTTTATTTTAATGGTTCTAAAATGGTCATGTGGTGTAATGTTGGCAAATATCATAAATAATTAATTCATAAATATCCTTACCTTTTTGGATGGATATACCATTAGGCTAAAATTCTACCACATTTTACAACCTGAACTACACTTGCCTTGAATAATAATAGTTTTATGCCAAACTACTAAATAAGATTTTCGTTTCCAGAATTTCATCCTTTTAATTAGGAATTATATATAAGAGTACATAGTACAGTGTTAGGAAGGTTACTTTGGAAATGTAATAGGTTTCAGATTACAAGTTACCCTATATAAATGTAGTGTAACAATTTCAATTACTTTATTAAAGTAATGTAACTGATTACATTTGATTACTTTTCTAAGTTTAAATTTCTCTTTTTTTCCCTACATTTTTCTAAACTGTTTATCATTTTGAAAAACATATAATCCAGGCAGGGTTAACCTTACAGTAGTACTCAACACTGATTACTGTCAGACTTTCAAAATCCTTCTTCACTTGAATTAAGATTATAATAATTTAATTTTAAAGCAGAGCCACCAAAAAAATCAGACTTTAGCATCTCTTTTTACTATCTGAGGTTAAATACAGATTTAAAATCCTAACAAGATATAGTTTAATATTTGCATAGCTATGACAGGAAACACTGGCATCTAACAATGTCTTGGACAGTTCATTTAAAAAATAAACAACAGCATACACAAACCCAAATAGGAAATAAAAGATGTGTCCTATTCTGTGTCCTAAATTCCTGAAACATTGGTGTCTCATATTTTAAAGCAGTCAATGCAATTTTGGAAAGAAATCAATCAAACCTATATGTGTGTGAAAATATTCAGAAGAAAACATCTTTGTAATCATTAACATTTTCTTAAGTGACTGTAATTTAATTACACATTGTTCTCAGTAACTATAACAGATTACAGTTACATTTATTTTGTAATTAAATTAGTTACTGGACAAACCAGCTGCTTTCTCCTTCAGTCTCCTGAGCTCTGCTGCCTCTGGAGAGCGTTCGTAAAGAGGCGACTGAGGTCTGTGGGGAAATGATTATGTGACTGTCACATACAGGACTGGAGTAGTTGTGTTGGTTTTGCTGTGTGTGTTCTTACACTGCGTTCCTCCTCTCGTCACTCAGAGAAAGCTGCTCCACATACTCCCTCAGATATGCCTGCAGCTCCTCGTACGTTCCCACCATCTGATTAAAGTTACTGTTGAAGAACAGAAGACAGTGATGTAACCTTTTTAGTCTTGGGTAGAATATTAGTATACTGTAAAAATGATTTTTTAAAGTTGGAAATAAAACAGATTATTGGATTTTGCTATTGTGTTACTTGTCATTTCTTTGTAATTCTTTGTGAAATTTACTAGCAATTCCTGGGTGAAAATTGTTTCAAAGTATATCCTACACCATTTTTTCAGTGTATGTTGTATATTGTATGTCAAATGTAACAGTAGTCTATATTTAAAAACAACAAAAAGACATTGGTCATGGCTCTTGTAGACTAATGCTGTAAACAGGTATAAAATAAATAGATGTATAATTATAAATGTGAAGTTATATATACACACAAACTGTTTATTAGTGGCATGTCCAATCTTCACATCAGCATTTTTATTATTTTTGAAATAAATAAATAATTTAAATAAAATGAACTACATAAATAAATAAATGTTAAAATAAATAAAATAAAAACACAAAAGGTCATTTTATCTTACAGTTGATTTTTTTGTTGTTGCATTTTTAACTTAATTTTGTATGTCTCTTCTACTGTTATTTGTTCTGTTTCTTGCAAGTAGTTTTTTTTTTTTATTATTGAAATATTACTTTATAATTATTTCAAAAAATCTGAAACAATATGTACTTAATTGTGAAATACCTGAAGGCTTCATGCCAATGTTTTAATTGACTTTATTTCTAATAATATTTCATTTTAAAATACACAGCATTTTCAATAGCATATACATTTTTGTTTTTTTTCCTGTGGAATCAGAATTGTCATTGACAGCTGAAATTATGATATGTGACCCTGGATCACAAAACCAGTCATAAGTAGCAATGGCTATATTTGTAGTAATAGCCAACAATACATCGTATGGGTCAAAATTATCGATTTTCAAAAAATGTACCCTTATGACTGATTTTGTGGTCCAGGGTCACATATGGTCACAAACCTAGATGTTAGTGTAGAAGAAACGCCACTTACTCTCTATCCACCACCAAGCACTGTGTGTCATTTTCATTTGCAATGATATTAGCTGAGCGGACATCCTCACTGAAATAGAATTATAAGAAATATGTAATAATGTTGTGCCACTTTGGAGATACATATATATAACAGTGACTGAAAACATCCTGAAAAACATGCTCATTTGCTCTTTCCTCATTGAGAGCACTTCATCTGAGCTTTAAATGAATCTAAATCATTACAAATGAGTAAATATGACAAGTGGCTCTCATGCGTCTAAGTGTGTGAGCGTCTCTGTGGTTATTTCAGCACTGAGTGTGCTCTTCAACAATGCTACAATGAGAATGAACATCTTTTCAGATGACTGACATTCCACCTCCCACATTCACGCCTACAAATATACAATTCATCTTTTTCCTGGCCTACAGGAAGTCCCCAATCACAAAGGAGTCATTGTTGGTTGTGTTCACTATTTTTTAAAAGCACTTCAAAACCAAACTGTCTGCAAACCTTATGAGAGCCTTTTCCCCAAAGTAATCACCCACACCAAGAGTCTTAATCTCTTGTGGTTCGGAAAAGCCTTCTGTAGTCTGTGTTACCAACACCTGTGAAAAAAACACACAGAAAAATCTTACTGTACATCCTTATTGACTGACTAATTTCACCGTCATCACAACTGTAACTGTCCCACTCATCAGAAAGCTCCCTATCATCATATAGAAAAGCCAGGCTTTTCTAAAAGTATGGATTAGCACCTCAATTTCTAATGAAAAAGTAGCAGTTTACCAGTGAAGCATGTCATCTGAGTGGGACTCAGAATAATGCGTCTAAAGTCGCTTATCCAATTAACATCAATCTTGGCTATATTACAATCTATGGTACAGGTTTCTGCCACAGACTACCATTGAAGCACAATTTCAGTGGGTCTCTATGGGCTGTGTGTCTGCTCACTCCTAGAGAAATATTCATGTAGGCAAAGCAGACTGCAGTCTGAACAGATAGTCTGAAATGGTACAAAAATATTTGAAGGATTACATATAAATGTAGGGCACAACAGGGCTAAAGGCACACCAGGTGGAGCATTTGATATTATTCTCCTCCAAACCACTAGATGGCACAAAAACTTATGATGGCTGATACTTGATGCAATCACAGGAAGCAATGCAAAGTTGATTCTGCGCTAATTTGATATAATATCTAACATTTTGAAAAATATTATAGATTTAAGTAGCAAATGGGAAACAATAAAATTTACAAAAACTAGGGGTGTAACGCTTGGTAAGCAAGAGCTGCTTTGTTTACGTTTCGTATATCTGCGTATATTTCGTATATCCTTGTTTCGGTTTCTCCTTTTGAATGACGAATATTGATAGCTGCTGAGAAGATGTGCCTTTAGTGATGTTGTACCCTTAATGCAGTAAGACACACCTCTCCTTTAGCTATGATGAAGAAAGTATTCCCTTCCTCGCCCTCACGAATAATGTACTCCCCTTTGTCAAAATATTCCTATAAAAAGATTGAAACATTAATATGATCTGGTTATAAATAAACATGCATTACCAACAAATGACAGCACTGTAGACACAGTAAAATGCTGCAAACTTACAACTTCAAGACAGTCAATGATTTTGGCAAGTTTCTCCTCTGGCAAATCTTTCAATAACGACACACTAAAGAACAATGTAACAATGTTTAATTAGCATTAAAGGAAAACAGCATGCAATCAAATCCATAAACATTATGTTGACAGGTGTACACAAATCAACACATTTAATTCAACCCTTGAATCAACCAATATTATTTTAACAGTTAAGTCACAACATCAATTTATGTTGCACTGATAGACATTAGTGACAGATCCACAATACCCATTGAAAAACACGATGCTGAATCCACATCAATCTAATCCAATGCTTTCAGAAAGGAATGTGCGTTGAAACAGCCAAGAAGAGACTTGTGTATACATGTGTGTGTGTGAAGCTGATGACTGATAAACATGCACAAATGTTAGTGACATGAATGTACCTGCGCAGGAAGCTGAAGTACTCCTCATGTCTGGCCTGAGTGGATCTCATCATGATAGTCTGGAACGTTTGCCGGTCCAGAGCCCAGATGTGGGACTGAGTCACAGCTAATGAAACACAATCACCATCAGTTCCACTTCACAAATCTATGACTATGACACTAATCCAACATCTACAATAAAAGTGGGTCAACAATAATAGAGAAAAAGGTCATGCTGGCTATAACCCAATATGTTGCGGACTGCATCCAAATGTAATGCTTTGGACTTGCAGTGCTTATATAAAGTTAACAGGAGAACACTATTTTTAAAAAATGCACCCAACAGTTTTTATTTAACAGAAGCAAAATCAGCTCACTGAAAAGTAATAAATGCAGATTTAATTATGGTTCAGTCAGGACAATGGGGCCATTTGTTTCCCTGTCATCTCAATGGCAAAAAAAAATTCCCAATTTACCTGAAGTCACCATATTCCAATCACAATGCAATTTATCAGCATCATTACAGCAGCTTGTTATCCAGTTTCACAGCAGCATTGTGACACAAACAGTCTACATGGCACATCTATATGATGTTTTAAATATTATTAACTACACTTCTTTCATATTTAGCCTGGTTTTCAAAGCAAAGTTTTACCAAAATGATCATTAAAATCACAAAATAAGATATTTTGAAGAATTCCATATGCCCTTGTCCATACAGTGAAAGAAAATGGGGTCCTAAAGAACACTGGATCCCACTGACTATCATTGTATGTTAAATTAAAAAAGAATCAGATAGGTTTGGAATGACATGAAGGTGAGTAAAAGATGACAGAATTTATTTTATTTACCCTCATTTTGTTTAAACAGAAAAATACACCAGCCACATTACAAGTAACGCCAGTTATTTAATCAGATTACTTTTCCAAGTAACTAGTAAAGTAATGCATTACTTTTAAATTTACAATCCGAGTTACTTTTTCACATTTTTTTTGTTTTCCCATTTATTCACTGACACCTTTTGCCATGTTGAGAGAAATTGTGAGTAAGTGCAGAGCCAGAGGCACTTCCTTCAGCCTGAGGCTTATTAATTTCACTTTTGCTGTGAAAAAGCTTTTACAGTTGCCAAAATATATATAACTTTTTGTTATTAAAAATAACTAAGCAAGCCAAGCTCAGTTGACAAAAAGTAACGCAAAAGTAACATAATGCAGTACTTTCCATAACACAATTAGTTACTTTTTTTATGGAGTAATGCATTTTTGTAATGCATTACATTTGAAAGTAACTTTCCCCAACACTGAGCAGAGGAACACACACACACACACACACACACACACACACCTTTGACTGTGGCTGTTCTTTTACAGTTATAGAGAATGGCCAACTCTCCAAAAGCCGTCCCAGGACGCATCTGACCCAGGAGCTTTTCATTTTGGATGACCTCTAATAAACCCTCTGGACACAGAGAATCAAATGAGCTCCAATGGGCAGAACAGAGCAGCGTCCAGAACATTATTTCAATGTTATCATTGAAATATTTAGATTTGTAAAAACATGAAAGTATGAGGAGCAGGGAACAATAACATCTGGAGTTTACCAGCAAGCACGTAGAGGTAGTTCCCCGGCTCTCCCTCCTGAATAACCAGCTGCTCAGCAGCGTAGATTTTCTCGTACATGCAGTCCACCATCTCTCGAGTGTGCTGAGGCTCCAGCTTCTTCAGAAAGTCATTGTTCATGATGGCTTCATTGATCAGTTTCTTAGTGCTACAGGAAGAGGAGGAAAAACAGTTTGGAGAATGCAAAACCCCAACACTTTTAAAAGAACTGAAGCACATGTGGCTTTCTTGAAGTCTAGTTTCAAAGATTTTGTATATATTTAGAAATATATATGGAAATGCTTGTTTGGTTGCTATTTATATAAACATTTAGTTGGAACAATGTCATAAGTGTTTGCGCAACTGAGTTTACTCTTAAAATCTCCTTTTATAAGACACAAAGACACACTTTAATTAGACGAGGCTTTCTTCAAGGCATGGTTCATCAGTGCTGAGTGAAGTGGAGGTGGTGAATAATGAATGATTCTCCTGTCACAACACTTCAGACTGCCTTTAATACACTGCTGAATTAAAGATACCAAATCATGGTACACCCTTCAAAGCAGGCGTTGTAAATCGCAATAAAAGTTTATATATACCAAGTTAAATAAATGGTTCATTCAAAAATTTATTTCACTACTTAATCAAACAAAAGAAGAAATTTTTGAAGAATGTACGTTACTCTTTTTGGTAACACTTTATTTCGATAGTCCACTTTAGACATTTATTAACAGTAAGTAACTTTGCAACTACATGTCAACTAGCAGTTAGTAGAGTATTAGTAGACTGTCTGCTTAATATCTTCTAACACTTTCTTTGTCAACTTATTCTACTAACCCTAAACCTACCCTAACAGTCTACTCTGAGAGTTAGTAGACATGTAGATGCAGATTAATGAGAATTAGTTGACATGTAGTTGACATGTAGTTACAAAGTTACTTATAGTTAATAGAATGTCTAAAGTGGACTATCGAAATAAAGTGTAACCCTCTTTTTATATAATTACAGTTAATGGTAACCACAGCTGTCAAGCTCTAAAAGTGACAAAATATCTACATAAAATAATTCATATGATGCTTCACTTTTCAAGTGTTCTGAAGTTCTGTGTGAGGAACAGACTGAAACTGAAATCAGTTTAAATAAAATAATTCAGACCTGGTGCACGAATGTCTAAAGATTACATGGCAACATATTTGAATTTCGAAAGACAATCAGTGAGAAATTAAGAAAATCTTATGAATTATTATATTAATGATTCCTTCACTTTATTCATTCAGTAACACTTTACAATAAGGTGTCATTTGTTAACATTAGTTAATGTATTGACTAACATGAACGAAAAATGAACAATTAATGTATTACACTATTTATTAAGCTTTGTTAATGTTAGTTAATAAAAATACAGTTGTTCATCGTTTGTTCATGTTAGTTCATAGTGCATTAACTAATGTTAACAAGCACAACTTGTGATTTTAATAATGCATTAGTAAATGCTGAAATTAACATTAACTAAGATTAATAAATGCTGTAGAAGTATTGTTCATTCTTAGTTCATGTTAACTAATGTAGCTAATTAATGAACCTTATTGTAAAGTTTTACCAGTGTTACCATTAATTCTTATCAAATTTTGCCCAATTCCTCATACAAAGCTATTTTATGACTTGGAATAAAGCACACAATTCATATTGGCTACTTTTGCAATATTAATAGAGTTTTTTTGAGTAATCACAATGAACTGGAAAAGAATAGCATGTACATTTTTCACAAATTCTTCTTTCGTGTTCCACGAGTTTGAAATGATACGTATAATGTATGAATGTGCAAACATGTGTAATGAATTTTAATTCTTACTTCCTATGCATAACAAAACATACATTTTTCATTCTTTCTTTTGGAGGTCTAAAAATCCTCACTGGCGACACGTTTACATTTTGCATGTCCGTTTCAGACTATTTTTGGTCTTCAGTACTATACTACAGCTGATTCTCATTATCCCATCTGAAACAGGACAGTCTTGTCACTGACCTAAAATTGATCTTATGAATGAATTAGTGCTGGAGATTTGTAGACTGCCATCAAGAGCGTGTTTAATTAAAACAGTAACGATTCCTGTCCATGCATACAAATGGCCCACCCTTTGTGTTCTCTTGAGCCACTCCATCCCCTCTGGAGTGTGTTATGGTAATCCAGGCTTTCATGCCTACTCTGGGGTTGGAGACACTACAAAGGCTTGGCTAAACCTTACTCCTGTCTCCACCTTCCAGGAGAGTCAGTACTCCAGTGACTCCATAATGAAACAAACAATCCAGTGGTGCAATCAGTGTCAGTGCACTCACCCGGAGTCTTTGCGGATGTGTTGTCTCTCTGTGGAGATGTGATGGACCCTGTGGTCATGACAGAAGTGCCTCGATGTGGGTTCGGCTGAAACGCCCTCCTTGGCCTTAAGGCGTCGATGCACCTCCACAGCCACTCTGTGGAAGCGCGTGGAGCCCTGGTTGATGACGCTAAGCAGTCTGCGGCTGTGCCTCAGCGGTGCAGGCGGCGAGCGTCCGAGACTGTTATACCCGATGGCATCCTGGAGCTTATCGATCTGGGACACTTTTGCCTCTAGTTCCCTTTGAAGGCTCTGTAAGCGCTTCTCCTGCGCACGGAGCTCCTGGTCCCTCCGTGCCAGCTCCTCTTCCAGATGGGTGATCCTCATCTTCAGGGGCTCCACAGACTCCCATAAAGGAGCCTCTTTTATACCGGAGGCCAGGCAGGTCTCCTCTAGCCGAGGGGCTTTGATCGAACCGTTCCCCATGATCAGAGAGTGACTAGGAACCATAGAGAGGCCTTTGGGCTTTTAAATGTGTTCACTGGTTGGCCACTGCAATCAGAAGATGAAATATCTAGACAGGGAATGTCCATTCAGTCTCATTATGAACGATAGATACAGTGCTGCTTGAAAGTTTGTGAACCCTTTAGAATTTTCTATATTTCTGCATAAATATGACTCAAAACATAATCAAAATTTCACACAAGTCCTGATAATAGACAAAGAGAACCCAAACAAACAAAGGAGACAAAAATATTTTCTTTGCCATTTATTTATTGAGAAAAATGATCCAGTGTTACATACCCCTTTTGCAACAATAACTGCAGGTAAATGTTTCTTGTAACTGCTGATCGGCTTGTAGGAATTCTAGCCCAACTCTGTGATGTTGGTGGGGTTCCTCCTATGAACTTCTTGCTTCAGCTCCTTCCACAACATTTCAATTGGATTAAGGTCCAGACTTTGACTCTGGCATTCCAAAACATTAACATTGTTCTTCTTTAACCATTCTTTGGTTGATGTCCTGACATTTTCCTTTAGAATTTGCTGGTATAATTCAGAATTCATTGTTCCATCAATGATGGCAAGCTGTCCTGGCCCAGATGCAGCAAAGCAGGCGCAAACCAAGCTACTACCACCACCATGTTTCACAGATGGGATAAGGTTGTTATGCTTGAATGCAGTGTGTTCTTTTCTCCAAACATAACGCTTCTCATTTAAACCAAAAAGTTCTATTTTGGTCTCATCCATCCACAAAACATTT